AAACTGGTTGTGAACAGACACACTGGGCCTACAGGTTTCAGAACCCAGTACCAAGTTGTTTTATCTTTTCAACGGTAAGGGCCGTATATATATTTTATTCTTTCCTTCATCAGACTTTCCTTTTACTCACCTACCCAAAAAATGTAATGCACGGTTTTGATGGTACTTTCCTGGAATAGCTATCTACTTGCTCTAAGCAAGTAGAATTTTCAAGCTTCGCCAATAGATTGCATGGCTTGTGTGATGGAGAACTCTGAGCTCCCTGTGATGTAATTCTTTCTTTTTGTATTTGAAAACTCATTCTGGAAGTGCCTTGTGCCCAACTCACTGCATGGTGCAATATGAACTATAGTGCACATCCAGTGTTGGCATCATGGGACACAAGTGATGTCACCATAGAAATATTGCAAAGTAGTCAGAAGAAATTAGGAGGAGGCATGAAAATGTTTTACCAAGTGCAAAATTTTAAATTTGTTTTAAAATTATGTGATGTATGGAGACTGGAGCAGAGAGTATGGGTAAGGAGAAGTAGGAGTGGGAGGAAAAAGGGCAGGAGAGGGTTTTATAGTTGATGTAAGGTGGATCCAGGACATTCTAATGTCGTTTGGCTTCAGAGGGGTAGCCGAGCCTGTTACAGGAAAAACTTATAAAACAACCGATAGGCTAGTAGCATCTTAAAGACTAACAAAACATGTCGATGGTATATGAGCTTTCGTGGGCACAACCCACTTCTTCAGATGACCGGAATAATAATGTTCTTTGGGGAATTGTTAACACATTCAAGTTTTCTCTAACCTATCAAAAACTTTGAAGATTGGAATGGTGGATCATCTGGATGATCTGTAAGGATGTGAGATGTCAGAGGGAGAGGAGAGAGAGGTTTGAAATGTTTTAGATTTGAAATAACAATAAAACTGCAGTTTTTAAAAAAACGGATCTCATCCTTATTAGAAATATCTCTTGGTTGTCCCAAAATGAGAGCTGCAATGTAGATAACAATCTTCACTTCTCAAATTCAGCTGGGTAACTAACTCTGAGCAAATGTGGGGCTTTCAGTTCCTTTGCAGTTACTGGTGTGCCCCCATTCCCACTGCATGACTATGCATATGTCATGTACTATGTTGGGTATGGTTTGTAGGAAATTTGATATAGAAAATGTAGTTGTATTTGCTTGCTTCAGTCATGTGAGCTGGCAGTATTGAAATATAGACCAATGGAGATGAGACAGGATATTGAAAACTTTAGAAGATGAGGCAACTAGTATGTGCCATAGAAACTGAAACAAAGTGGTAGATTTAATGTCAAGCTCCTTACTTTTGATGTTGTCACCCTGTAATAATTTTCAGATGACCTATGGTGAGTTCTTTGTGCAGTCATGTTGTAGACATCACGCATCACCATGCGGTATATATCAAAATGCAAAATAAAATGTGTTTTATCACATTGTACTCTGTTGCTGTTTATATTGAGAAAATTATAAATGTTGGGCAAAATGTGAACAAGTGATTAGTATCCTTCTCTGTGAGGAGAAATCGCAATGCTTTGTGCTGAGTGGTGTTCATCAGTTTTTGTTCACAGCATGGTAATGAGTATACATTATCTATAACACGTACAGTATATTGACAGCCAAAGATCAGTGTGTGAAATCTTTGAGAAAATGGAAAACTTGTTAGGGGCACCTCTTAAGCAGTCAAGACATTTTTAAGAAAGTCTATTAGATGGCTTTCATTAATTAGGAAATTATGAGATTCAGGGAGAAGTCTGTCATTTTTAGCTCTGAAATGCCAGAAGCCTTTTCCAGTACCTTTTATTTCTCCCCTGCAGAAGCTCTTGTGTCCCACACTACCTTCCTTGTATAATTCAACAGTATTTCCATATATAGAGAAAGAAAATTGATACATGTAGATGCAGGTATATCAGGGATAGTGTTTGTTTTTTCACCTGAAAATTTTCATGTATAACATACATGAACATAACATAACATGCTTTTTTCAGGTAAGCATCCTTTTTCATTTCAATGAGGAAAAACCACTGTCAGCCATACAAGAAACTGTTTTCTTTGTGTGAAATTTTTAAAAATCATGTAAGTTGTATCTAGACAATTGTAGGAAGTAAGGGAGGGGGATTTCTTTTTAAAATAAATGCCTTAATTTAGTCCATGATTTGTTTGATAGAAAAAGAAAATAGTACCGTTTAAGTATTATGGTAAATTAAGATTGTGATGTTAGGAAACCAAGCAGCCGTCTTCCCTCTTTATGGCCAGAGCAAAGAAAGCTTTTACACTGAACACTTTATCATGTGTGGCTGAATAAGAAATAAAGCATTCTCATAGTGAATATTTTGAAAAAAGAATTGATTTAATAAGGTAAATGCTTTAGTGTATTTGTGTTCTTTCAGTCTTTTCTGTGGAAGATCAAGTCAAGAATTATGGGCCACAGCTGTGTTCTTCCATTTAGAAGTTGTATAGAATATCAGCTGAGCCAATTAAAAATGGTGACCACAGCCTTATTCACTTTGAAAGACAGATCCGTACACTTGATCAAGAAGTGCTGCCTTGCAATCATATTCTCCCATTCAGTTTCAGTGGGTGGCATTAGATCTGATTAAGAAATACTGTCCTACAGTTGCATTCTCTCTACTCTCTTGTGCATACTATGAAAGGGAGAGCCTCAGAAGACATGTTCAAGGCTTTTATTTAAATAAAAAAGGGGGGAGCATTCTTGCAGCCTTTGTAAGTGGGTATGCAGATGACCTGACAGAAGTGCCATTTGGTCAGAAATATTAAATGAACGTCTTAAGAAAGGAAGAGCAGTCAGTGCTGGTTTGTGTTTCTGTTCCACTAACTGCTTTGTTCCCCAGACTCCTAAGAAGGATCAGTGGCTGTGATCCCATAGTCTCATCTCTCCGTTCCAATAGATTCATAATAGGTGTGTTGTCCTCCCCCCCTTTTTTTAAATTGTATTTTATATTGAAGCTTTTATTCTTTCTATAAATGTGATATGAATTGATTGGCTTCTTGACACTGGTTCTGCAGCCAAGTTTACTTACGAATAGAATTTTAAAATATCTTGGTTAGAATTTCACATATTATTGTATACTTAAGATACTCCAATTGAATTAAACAAAGACAGTAAAACTTAAAAAACAACTAATGGTCCTACAGACAGTGTTTTAAGGAAATTATCTGCATTTGTGGCTGACTTCTAACCAGAGCAATACCTGGTTTACTGAATTGAACTGTGATCTAGGAGAATAAATCATTTTTCATATACAGCTTTTGGGCAAATAAAACCTTTATTATATGCTAGCCTGTGTAGGCTTAAGAACAAATTAATTCACACTGTCTCTAATGTCTGTCTATTTTGCTACACATTTTCCCCTTAATATAAATCTGTCTTTAAGATAAGATTTTTGGCTTCATTTCCTGGTGTATTTTTTTTATTTATTTAATATAAACTCAGCTTTTCTTTGTGTGACAGATTCATTCTGTGTATCTGTGTCAGAATTTCAAATTTTACCTGTGTTGTAGTTTGTCCTTCAACATGTTTCTGGTGGCTGGTAGCTGGACTAAATTACAGGGTTTTTTGTTTTTTCTGGATGAATGTATGATTTGCAGCTTAAGAGGAATTAATTTGGTGCTGCACATGAGAGAAACAGGGGGTTTTTTTTGAATTCTTACAAAGGTCTTTTAAATACTTCTTCCCTTGATTATTGTACCCTCATTTTGTGCATCAGGTCATGAATCTCTCAAACTCATTTATGCCTCTAAACACAGGGAGGCAAAACTCTTGGAAATAATCCTTTTGCTTGTTAGTATTTTTTTGCTTGTTTGATATGTTACTCTTCAGTCCAAAGAGATAGCTGCAGTTTTTACTTTGTTGAAAGGTTTCAGTTCTGTTACATGAAGCTGTTTACAATTTAAACACTGTCTGTAGTATTTGATTGTGGTTTTTCAATATGTTCCTGCTTAACTAAACTATATTGGCTCAAAGCTGCTTCTCTCCTTCCCATACATTACTGACGTGGCTTTTAAGCTTTGTTCTCCTTACTTGATACAGTCCAGAAAGTAAAAAGGATAGACCCCGCAACTCTTATTCACATGTATAATATTTACTGATTCAGATAATCCTATTTACTCATCTTGGCTCAGAATGAATGTTTTAAATAAATAATACTAGTCATTTTGGCAACAGAGATGTCTTGACTGAAAGTGTTAACTTTATGTAGTGTGTATTGTCACTGAGTATGGTCCTGAGTCTGAAAATCTTTTCTTGTATAAGGCACATACTTAATTTTTAGTTTGAGTATTACTGCTGCTTTCATTTTTTTATATTCTCCATCTTGTAATTCAATTTTTGGTTAAAAATGACAGGCATTTGAAGGATGAGGAGTTAGGAGTTGACTCCAATGCCTATTTGATCCACAAATTTTGCTGTCAGGCTAGTGGCCTGCCTCTGAATGCCCACAACATGTTGAGTATTTGTGATAATCTATATTCCTTAATGTTTAGAACATAACTTTAAAAAACTAATTCTGAGGGATGTCTTTGACCAGTTTCTGCCAAAATGGGAGTTGAAAAATAAATGTTTACAATGGAAATGCTATCACAGCTTTCTGTATAAAATTGTGTATGTTGCCAATAGGGGTCTGATCTCTTGAAACTAATACTCCTCAAAATCCATAAATGTGGGAAGAGGCAGAGCACTTTATAGGACTAGACCCCGTAGATTAAATTTTCTTTCCAGAATAGCAACTATCTCTTCCTGAAGAGGGTAAACGCATAATATCAGTTACAGATTTGGTTATACATTACATAGAACCGATGGCGTCCATTCAATCGTCTTTGAAATGTCAGCACCAAAATATGTCCATGATTGGGCAACACTAGTTGCTGTGGGATTTTTTTTAAATTGTATTTATTTATTTGCTGATTTATGAACAGAGAAAAATGAGATTGACACAATAGTGAAGAATGTTTTTAAAGAAGAGACAAATCAGTATTCAGTTAATCTATCTTTAAATACTTTTTTGGCTTACATTAAGTCAATCAGGGGTTTGCAGACAATGGGATAGAATTTCCAGGTGGCCCAGCTTCTTCCATGATCACTTGCTGAGTTCAGCGCAACCTGGAAACATGTATGGTAGCCTCTCTTCTTCACCTGGTCCTAGCTTTGCCCTTTGTGGTCCATGGTTAGCAGATATTGGGCTTTCTTTTTTCTTTTTTTTTTTTTAATCTTTGAGGGGCATTTTTCTTTCTCAACTCCCCACTTTTCCTAATGCAGGGGTCGAAAAGGACTGAAGAATTTAGGGAGAAGCATTATTTATATGATTTTCACTGTTGTTCTCATTAACTGAGATAATTAGATTGACATCTAAAAGTATACTTATAATTCTTAGCTCAAACATAAGCAATTCCCTGTTGCTCAGATATCTCATCCCCACTCTGGATTTTAGGGGGAGCTCATCCTCTCTTGTCTCTCTCTGCTCTCCTATTCCTTA